CTAGTCTGCTGAACAAAATATTTATTGATTTATGAGATTTCTGTTCCATTTTATGTAAAGTTTGGTCAAATGAATTACCAGCTTAGCGGAAATTAAAGCTAACCAAATATATAATTCTAAGTCTGTTACTTAACCTCTTTAGGTTTAGTGATGGCATTCATGATAGATGGTCAGAGTATCCATAAATCACGTTGTCACTGTGATTTGTTGTCTTCAGGGTCCTCCGGGGACAGCGGGACTCCCTGGAGAGCTTGGCCGTGTGGGACCTAGTGTGAGTACCACAGTACAGTTTGATAGACACTTGCTGGCTTAGTAAAAGGTGTTACTAGTGAAGGCAAGTTAACGTAAGTTTGTGCTTCCTCCTGCAAACCAAAAATGGCATATGAATTTTAGTCCAGTTCATACTATTGATGGGGATCAGGACTAATACACCTCATTTTTGCTGAGTGACTTTAATTTTTTACTTAAAATTTTGAGCTAAACTTTTCTTCCCAATATTGAGATTGAGTATCAAGTAAAAAGTGTCACCCCAGTTTTATAGATTCTGTGCTAGGACTGAGAGTCTAGTGGTTTGTGTATTAAACTTTCCATATGAAATTAAAAAACAGTCTATACATATATATAGCGGTTTTATATACACACATACACAAATGGACTGCTAATTTATAATCAGAATTTAACTTTAAATATTAAGGAGGTGAACTTCATAGAGCAAACTGCTGGTAAAATTGCTTCATGTGTATATTCAGTGAACATTTCATGAATAAAGTTTTGATTTTATGAGAAGGTAGGTAACTGTCAACTTGCAGAAGGGAGAAGACATGTGTTACACTCATCTTGAGCGTCTCTGTGTGTGCTGTTTTCAAATTTATGTGAAATTTGAACAAATGGATGGATACGCAATGATTGTATATTTAAACTAATTGTAAGATGCTCCTGACCTTAGAACATGAAGAAGGAAAACATGCCAAGTGTGTTTTGAGTAATTGAAGTCTATTTTTGTCAGGATGGCTTATTTGCATTTAGCCACGTTTGCTTTTCTGTGTAAGAGTGTAGTGACAGACCAGGGGATGCACCTGGTGCCAGGAGCCGTGAGGGGGCTGGGGAAAAGCTGTCTTTGGCTCTGACTAGCTGAGTGGTGCTAGCACTACTGGCTTTTCAGGCTCCTCTGTGAGTCAACGAGAAAATACACCGGGTGCCAATTTGTTTTCAGAGTAGATGGAATGACCATCTGTCCGGAAGAATTGGCTTTACTCTCCCCTCGTGTCTCCTTCTGCTTTGTTTTATATCTTGGTGAAATCAGAACTCCTTTACTTTTCTGGTCTTGTGGGGAAATTGGGCTTTAGTGGTAGGTCTATGCGTGGCTGGCTCTGCAGGGGTTTCAAGGACTATGGTTTTCTCCTGTCTCCCCAGCTTTTGGCTTTCGGTACTATTAGGCTGTTACTTGTGTAACTACATGTCACAATTTTCAATGACTTAGGGTGACCCTGGGCGGAGAGGACCACCTGGACCTCCTGGCCCCCCTGGACCCAGTGTAAGTTTTTTATGGTTTCAATTTCTCCTCTGGTCTTAAGAGTAGGCGCTGAAGAAACGTAACCCAAACCTGAAGGGCCTGTGGGTTGAGTCATCGTTTTAACATCTCCAAAGTGACTACTGATTTTCTCATCCATTCAGAGTGCTGCTCTTTTTAAAGAAAAGCAATTGAAAAGGTGGTTTTTGCAAAGCAAGTCTTACTCGTTACATTTGAAGTCTTTGACACTTGTGATTTCTCAAATGCTCAAAACTTTGACATTTAAAAGAAACATTTTCAAATGAACTGGTTTCCACAGTAACAAACTGGAAAAGTAGGAGTTTAAGAAAGATAAATTCCACATGTCACAGTTCTGTATTTTTCTGTTGTACCTCACATTTCCTCTCCTTTTAGTCACCCCAGAAAAGATTGAGGTTTAGAGGTTTCCAAAAGGAGTAGGCGTGTGAGTTAGGTTTTTGGAATAGTAGCATATTGTGTGCTGGTATTCATTTCTTACATTTTAGGAAAGGAATATACTTACTATATTTTCACCCGGTGAACATCCCTTTACTAGTAGGTTTGATTATTAGTTAACATTATTATTTAGTTATATTCTTAACTGTAAATTTTTTTTTTCACTTTAGGGAACAATTGGCTTTCATGATGGAGATCCACTGGTGAGATGTTTTTCTTTTGTTTTTCAGCTTTAATTGAATTTATTGGTACATTTTAGTGATACAGTACAGTTACATTCCTTGTTGGGATCTTGTATCTTTACATGACAAGTCTTGGTTCTCATTTTTTCCCTTTGTCCCTGCCCTCCCTTCACCCCCTC